TTCTGCCGCAGCTTCGACCCTGAAAGCTGGGACGAAAGACAAAGCCACCTATGCAGGTATGTCAACAGTCTTAATAAACTCCTGCAGGGTGTGATGTTACCCACACATCGTCAGCTGTTAGCTACAAAGCGAAACACTTTACGTGTGCACTGGGAACTGCTAGCCTGGGTCTGTGTGGAGTCTCCTAGTCCATCTGAAGTTGATTAATTATGTTTTAGTAAATAAACCAAAAGGAAAAAACGTATCAACTAAACAGTAGCTTTAACGTTGTGAGCAGCAGCCTGCAGACTCTCAGACTCGCAGGAATCACGCTCGCATGTTAGCAAATCTTTGTCCTGTCTTTCTACCCTCACCTCAAACGGTTGCAGCAGATGGCCCCGCCCCTCCCTGAGCCTGGTTGAGGTTTCTTCCTCTTAAAAGGGAGTTTTTCCTTCCTGCTGTCACCAACGGGGACCACTTGAAAAATGAGGAAAAAATCATATTTTGCACGGTTGGATCTTAACAAGGTTCCAGCTTCAACATCCAACAAGAAGAAATGGGAGTGACGCAAAACATTTTCTGAGCAATTTAAACTGAAACAGGCTGTTGCAAAATGTGGATTCGTTGTCATTTTCGGTCAGGTAGTCACGCTGCCATGACCTTCTGATGGCAAAGCCAAACAAACGTTAGCTTTTAGAAAGTGGTCGGGTTGTTGAACAGCAGGAGCAGGGTCACGGTGCCCACAGGACTTCTTCCAGGAGAATCACTCTCTTGGACCATCCTGCGTGTTCCTCTGATCTAAATCCAACTGAGAACCTTTCAGGATGGATGGCAGGGGACGTTTACAGAAATGCACAACAGTTCCAGACAGTAGATGTGTTTGTGCAGCCGTCTGTTCCCCCTCACCTCATGGAAACGCTTGAATCAAGCATGCCGCAACGAATGTTTGAGGTGATCATCAATAACAGTGGAGCTGCTCATGACTGAGTTCATGTTTGATTTCTGTTTTGGGGAGTTTACAGGTTTTTTTGGAGGTGTAAAACAGCCTGTTTCAGTTTAAGCGCTGTTTTCAATAAATGGCTAGAAAAAAAGTTTTTTCTCGCTCCCATTTCTTCTTGTTGCCCGTTGAAGCTCTACTTGGAACCTTAGTACGATCTTAAACTTTTGATCGGGGCTGTATGATTGTATGATTGTATGATTGTAGGGTCTACCTTACAATATAAAGCACCTTGAGGGGACTGTTGTTGTGATTTGTTTCTGTATAAATAAAACTGATTTGAATTGAATTGAAATCACGAAACCGGACTTTTGTAAAAATCTGACTCATTTTTGCAACAGTCGCCCCCTGCTGGCCATTAAAAAAAAAGCAGGTTTATTTTTATCTTGTATGTAAAAATAGATCAATATGACTAAACAACATAAATCTGTTTATTTCTCAGACATCCATATAAAAGACATGAAACAGTCCAGTTTTGGCTGCTGCTCCTGCTGCAGCTGGTGGAAGTGGCTCCTGGGCCTCCTGCTCAGCCTGTTGCTCCTCTTCAGTGTCCTTTTTGGACTCATTGCTTTGGGTAAGACTTCACCATCACAGGGGTCTGTGAGAGTGATCTGCACAGGTTTACCTGCCAGCCTGCGTCTTGTCTCACAGGTGAAGAAGTCAGACGCCTGAAAGGCCGCGTGGACGCTCTGGAAGCCATGACCAGATCTGCGTCAGTCAGTCACTTGATGTCTTCTGGCAACAAAATCTCAGAGCGGGTGGAATCCACATACATCGAGAAGAACGCCGCTTCAACCCTCATCCACTCCGACAACGGGCTCAACCTGGATGGTGGTGGCACAGGCGGAGGCACGGGAAGCAGCCTGGTCCAGGACAGGGCCGCCCTGGAAAGACTCATACAGCAGCTGGTCAGGGATGAGCTCCACTCAGGATCTGTAAGAGGTGTGAAAATGTAACGCTCGATCAGCTGTCTTCAACCATTTCTGGACATTTAACAAATACTGAAAACTTTATTTGGGTTTAGAAACTCTGGCATACTCACTGAAAGGAGAGAGAGGAGAGCCGGGACCTAAAGGTGTGTTTGAAATCATTTAAAATCATTTAGAAATTCACATTTTGTTTGTATTTATCGTCTTGGCTTCTGCATTACAGGTGACCCAGGGCCATTAGGACAAAAAGGTGAGTACTTCTAGGTACACATAATAACGTGCGGTGTAATATGTGGAACTAGCTGCTGACACTTGTTTTGTTGCAGGTGATATAGGAACATCTGGCCCTCCAGGTAAGCCTCAGAACTAATGTTTGTTTCCTCCTCGCTGAGCCGACAAACTTCTTCTTTGATGTCTGCTATAGGTCTTCCTGGGCAGATCGGGCACCCAGGTTTGGAGGGAACAAGGGGACCGAAGGGAAGTGCAGGTATATATATATTTTTAAATAATCTTTGTAAAGACAACACTAAAAGAAAAAAACCCTGACTCCTCCTCTTTTTTGCCCAGGTGAACCAGGTGCTGAGGGACCACAAGGTCAGAGGGGTCGGGAAGGACCGGTGGGCCCCCGAGGAGAACCTGGATCACCTGGCTTTGGAGCCAAAGGAGACAGAGGTTTGAAACTATACACAAGTAAGTCAGCGAGTAAATACATGAGAGGATTTATTGATTGTATTTTGGCTTTGAAAGGATTCCAGGGTGAGCCAGGACGACCGGGTCCCGCCGGTATTGCTGGACCTGCAGGTCCAAAAGGTAAAGTTAAGCTTGTGATGATCAGACCAGATTAGTTTAGATTCAAAGACTCAAAAATGTTATTTAGCAGGTTTTAGGTTAAATGCTAATTAGCAGCTATAAGCATGTTTTTCTTGTCTGCTTTAGGTGCCACAGGAGAGCCGGGTGCCGCAGGAAGTCCTGGTAAAGACTCAGTTTCACATCTATATTAAAAGTGTTGATTTGTATCGACCAACGGTCTTTTCTTCATTAAATCTGTCAAAATGTATCCAGGTGCTCCTGGATCAAAGGGATTCCAGGGGGAGGCGGGGCTTCCAGGAACCAAAGGTAGACGCTTTCTCTTTGGTTTTTTTAGACTTGTGTATAAACTGCTGACACTTCTAAGTGTGTTGGGACAATATTACCCAAAATCCATAGACCATGTGTACATTCAGTGGCCACTTTATTAGATACACCTTGCTCATACCTGGTTGGACTCCGTTTTGCTGCTTAAATCCTTTGTCTCACTAACATATTGGTCCATGTTAAGGTGATAGCACCATGCAGTTGCTATGCTATTGTCATAAAGGCTCAGTAACAATACTCAGCTACACTGTGGCGAGCTCAGCTGGTACTAAGGTGCCCAGAAAATATCCCCACACGGCTACATCACCACCAGCACCCTGAACCTTTGATACGATTGTTGTGCGTTCATGCATAGCTCAGTTTTAACGAGCAGTTCTTTGAGTTGGTGCCTTCCTACCAATCAGCCCTGGCATGATCCAAATCACTCGAATCCCCTTTTTTCCTCACTTCTGGTGCTCCGTTTGATCTTCAGCAGCTCATCTCAACCATGTCCATGTACCTAAATGCACTGAGTTGCTGAACGGATAAGCTTTTATCCATTTTGGACAACTCTCTGATCACCCCACCTTTCTCCACTGTCTGTGACGCAGGGGACCGAGGAACATCTGGGCTGCCGGGAATCAAAGGAGACCACGGAGAGAGGGGACCACGTGGACCGGCAGGTGTGTCTCAGCACACGTCTATGATCCACAACAGGCCACGCAGTCAAATAATATTAAATATTTGAAAATCCTACGATTTTCAGACACATTGACCTCTGACCTTGAGGTCAAGGTCACCAGGATGTTCACAAACTCTGGTTTCCACAACGCCCGCCTGCTGGCAGGCTGACTATCCCATCAACCTTTTACAGCTAAAGGGTAAAAAGACTCTGTCTGCAGAAGGGGGCAGTTTAGTTTTAGATTTTAGCCCCACCCAGAGTCACTCTGCATCTTTAACAATAACTGAAATACAGTCATTTTGAATGCTGATATTTTGCCCACCACCATGTTTGGCTTGTAGAGCTAAAAGTTACCAAAGTGTGTAAGGATGCGCCACGTTGTCAGCCACTGCAAGCTAGCAGTACATATGTATGTTGGGTTGAGGTTATTCTATTACAAGACGAAGCAAGAAATAACTAGTGAGACTTAAAAATGTCATCTTCAAACCTCAACCCTTTATTTTTAGGTGAACCCGGACAGCCTGGACCTCAAGGACCTTCAGGATTAAAGGGATCTAAAGGAATTGCAGGTGAGAAGTTTGGACAAACACTGAATAACTACAGAACACAGTGTTGTAAAT